GTGTGTGTGTGTGTGTATGTGTGTGTGTGTGTGTGTGTGTGTGTGTGTGTGTGTGTGTGTGTGTGTGTGTGTGTGTGTAACAGGCCGTCCGGTGAGCAGCAGTCGTCGTGTGCGTCCAGTGTTCAGAGCAGCAGCAGCTCGTCATCTCCAGTGAAGAGCAGCTCCTGTAACCCGTCCATCAGCCCCCTCAGAACCGGACCGCTGCCCGCCGACCTGGACGACCTGAAGGTCAGTGCTGCGCTGAACACTGCTTAAAGCCAGATTCAACATTCTCGATTGTGTTAACATATGAGTATTGGAATTGAAATCTACAGATAAAGTATAATAAAATCAACACTTCAGTGTGTGTTCTGGGTGTTTTCTGTCCACTGACCCGTGAAAAAGCAATGGTTTTGCCTGCATTTATGATCAGTAAGTCAGCATATGCTTTTCCATTAACTCAATAAAGTAATATAATCAATTTCAACTTCATTTTTTAAAGTTATACAAGATTTAACAAGACAAGATTTAAAATTCTTTGACCTGTACAGCCAGTTTGATTAGAGACATAAAAAAAGCAAAGTTTTTGTAAAGGAAATGCTTTTGAGACCCTCAAAATACACATTATTTATTTAATTTTGTTTATTAATTTTTATAATTATTTTTCAAGTGATATAACCATTTAAATAAAACTGTTGTTTGTCTCGTGCGGGTCACTTTCAAGATTCAAGATTTGTATTTGTCAGGTACACAGTTATAAAGAGAATATATAGCCAGCAGTGAAGGTAAATCAGGTCTGCTCAATAGACTGTGCAATTATTTATAAAAGTATATAAACAAAAAATAAACAGATAATAAGATAACTCAGTTTTGGAGCCGGGTATGTGTGGAGCACCATTAGGTGTCAAAAATACTTTCTGTAGAATTATCTATTTAGTTATATTAGTGTCAACGAACTTTTGTTAAATATATCTAGTCTTTTCTCCACATCTCACACACGTTTGCACTGAATGTTTTTGTTGATGAACATGAGTATGTACGTCCACTGACGAACCACTGCAGCATAAAAGATCCATGACTTTTTGTTCATCTGCATGTTCATCAGATATGCAAGTAAAGTGAATTTATTTTGTTTGAAAACTTTTCGGAGCAACATTTACATTGTTTAGAGGTTTTATTAGAAAGGTTTCACGAATGTGGACTGTATTTGAGCAATCACAAGTTAGAAATTCAACAGAATTTAATTAAATTATATTATGTTTCTCAATTTTAAAATGAATAAAAAAAGAGGTAAATGCAGTAATAGCATGGTAATAGCACGGTAACATTCAAAGACACTAACCCACGGTTTCACAGACAAGGCTTAAGCCTAGTCCCAGCCTAAAATGCATGTCTGGGCTGTTTTAACTGAAAGAAACTTGCACTGACTGATCTTAAAAGATGCACACCAGTAGTGTTTATGTCTAAGGCACATTTATAAAAGCTACTTAAATGTCCTAATTGAACTATGGCCTAATCCTGGCTTAACCTAAGCCCTGTCTGTGAAACCAGGTCAATATGATTTTAGTTGAAACATATTAAGTTATGACTGTTTTATAAGATAACCCGAAATGGACCCAGAATGTGGAAAGATTTAGAATGCATTACTGGGTTAATCATGTAACGCAGCAGCAGAACGTAAGCTGAGCTCGTAGTAATTGTAGCCTCTGCGCTGTTGTTCTGGGGAAGCCTGAAGCTGATTGGTGTGTTGCAGGTGTCTGAACTCAGGCAGCAGCTGCGCATGCGTGGTCTGGCCGTGTCTGGCACTAAGACTGCGCTCATCGAGCGGCTGCGGCCCTTCAGAGACTCCAGCTGCGCTTCTCCAGCCGCGTTCCCCGTGACGCCCACCGGATCGCTCTCGTCCTGCCACTTCTACCGGTTCTGCAGCAGCGGCTCCACGCCGCCCATCTCTCCGGCCTCGTCCGAGCTCTCCGTCAGCAGCTTCAGCGACGCCACCGTGTCCTCGCCACAGTTCGGCCTGAGCGCAGACGAGGGACCGGACCCCGAGAAGGACAAGATGCTGGTGGAGAAGCAGAAGGTGATCGAGGAGCTGAGGTGGAAGCTGCAGCAGGAGCAGAGGCAGGTGGAGGAGCTGCGCTTGCAGCTGCACAAGAGGAAGCGCATGCAGGACTGTCCCGCTCCGCCGCAGCACATGACGCATCTGCAGCAGTTCTACAGTGTGTCTGTCAAGCAGGAGCAGATGAAAGGCGGCTGCATGGCTCACTGCGATCTCCTGGAGCTGCATTCGTCTGGAAGCCCCGCCGGTCTGTCTGCGCTCCTGAGCCCTCAGTGTTCTCCTGAAGATCCGCCCGTCACCAAACCCTCCAGCAGCCCTCCATCGCCAGACTCACACACGCTGCTGCAGAACGCAAGCAGAGCCACGCGCAGCACACAGGTGATCCACACACAGAGCCTCGTACTGAGACACGGCTGTTCATCTGTGTCCCTGCAGCACAAAAGCAGTGTTAAGTCGCTGGGGGATATTTGTAGCAATAGCCAACAATACATTGTATGGGTCACAATTATACATTTCTCTTTTATGCCAAAAATCATTAGGATATTAAGTAAAGATCATGTTCCATGAAGATATTTTGTAAATTTCCTACCGTAAATATATCAAAACTTAATGTTTGATTAGTAATATGCATTGCTAAGAACTTCATTTGGACAACTTTTTTTATATGCGATTTTCTCAATATCTTGATTTCTAGATTTTCAAATAGTTGTATCTCGGCCAAATATCGTCCTCCTATCCTAACAAACCATACATTAATGGAAAGATTATCTATTCAGATTTCAGCTGATGTAGAAATCTCAATTTGGAAAAATTTACACTTATGACTGGTTTTGTGCTCCAGGGTCACATATGTGTGTGTATATATATATATTTTATTATTAGCCATAATTACATTTTATTCCTGTCTATTCTCTTGTTCTCTTAGTCAATTAATGTCTCTTAAATTATATATAACATATAATATTAAACATATTTACATTTCTTTATAAATATTCATACATATGCATTATTTACTGTTCAAAATTTGGGGTCAGTAAGATTTTTTTTATGATTAAAGAAATACGAAGTATACTTGTATTCATCAAGGATGCATTCAATTGATCAAAAGTCACAGTAAAGACATTTGTAATGTTACAGTAGATTTCTATTACAAATAAATGCTGTTCTTTTGAACTTTCTGTTCATCTGTGAATCCTGAAAAATAAAATATATCAGTTTGCACTAAAATATTGTGCGGCACAACTGTGTTTAACATTGATAATAATCAGAAATGTTTCTCGAGCAGCAGATCAGCATATTATACTGATTTCTGAAGATCATGTGACACTGAAGACTGCAGTAATGATGCTGAAAATACAGCTGCGCATCACAGAAATACATTACAGTTTAACACATACTCACATAGACAAATGCTCTTGTAAATTATAATAATATTTCACATTTTTACTGACTTTACTGTATTTTTAATCAAATAAATGCAGCCTTGGTGAGATTTGAACAGCTGTACACATTTCTTTGTTTACTGTTTTGTAATACTGTATTTTCTCATAACACTTTGAACTGTAAATGATGATTTCAAACGATCACTGTGTTTATTATTAATATTTTAGGCATCAGAACAGAAAGACGCTGCATTGGTCTCAGTGTACTATAGCATCTCCACCGTGTGTCTTTGTGCTGGAAGAGTGAGATTCCCGCTGGATGTTTTTACCCGGGGTCTGTCACAGGGTCACGCAGCCGTCTAGGAGATAAAACTCTTTCCTGTTCCTCTTATTTTCCAGACCGGCTCATTATGAATTCTCACTTGGTGTCAGAGGTCTGCTATTTCAGGATTCTGGAGGATTTTTCCTGACCAAAACAAAACGTGTGAATACATGGGACTTAAAGGAGCACCATAAAATGAGAATGTACACAAAAGAAAGTCTTGAATAAATAAACGGTGACAGACTTTTCATTTTTGGCCTTTACCGTCAATATTAGTCGTGTGATGTCACAGCGAGAGGGAATGATGGGGGAAGGAGCTATAATTAGGAAAGGGAATATAAAACACATTTCGGCAGGCTGTATATTTCAAACTATTGCAGGGGCGGATTGTTTTATGAGCTCTGTGATTGCGGCGGCCCTCCGGAGGCAAATATTTGCCGATTCGGCAGGAAATGGGGCTCGGGGAACGGGGGCAAAACCTTGAACTTCACCTCCAAACATCCATTTTATTCCAATCACAGCCTAAATCAATTCTAGCAGGTATTATCACGAGCCGTGTTTGCTGTGATGCAGCTGTGTGTGTGGAGAAAGAGCAGCGACGAGGGAGTGTGTGTGTGTGAGTGTGTGTGTGTGTGTGTGTGTGTGTGTGTGTGTGTGTGTGTGTGTGTGTGTGTGTGTGTGTGTGTGTGTGAGAGTGTGTGTGCGCGCGCGTGTGAGTGTGTGTGGAGAAAGAGCAGCGGCGAGGGAGTGTGTGTGTGTGTGTGTGAGTGTGTGTGTGTGTGTGTGTGTGTGTGTGTGTGAGTGTGTGTGTGTGTGTGTGTGTGTGTGTGT